GGGTCAGCTGGGATGAGCCATCTCGGCTCTGGATGCCTGGGGTCCTGGTCTCCGAGTGTGGCTCGGGCTGCGAGTGTTCCCCTTGGCGGAATGAAACCCAGGGGCACAGGCCGGGGCGGGGGGTGGGTTGAAGTCAGGAGGTTCTGGTAGGAAGTGCTCGTGTGAGGAAGCGCTGTGTGGGTGCACACGTGTGTGCCCGTGTGTGTGCAGGCCCTGCTTGCCGCCACACGTGGGTAGGAGCGTGGTTTGTGGGTAAGGGGCTGAAGAAAACCATAGACCCAGGGGCGGTGTGTATCTTGGAGCGTGTGTAGGACAGTTGACGTGGGACTGGAAAGCGGGTAGTGTGTGCACAAGTGTGGAGTGTGTGTGTTGGGGGGTTGAGGCACACATATCGAGGTCCAGGTACATATATGGAGGGTGTCTGTGTGTGTGTGTGTGTGTGTCTTGGGGACTGGGGTTGGCTTGAGGCGGGGAATAAAAGCCTGGAGGGGCCTCTCCCTTGTTCTGCAAACCCCCTCTGCCCACATGGTTAGCCTGCGGCCGACAGGCCCTGACCAGTCCATGAACTCAGGGTCTGAAAGAGTCAGCGGCTTTTCCAACCTCTTTGCCAAATGGGATGTCAGCACAGGGGTGGAGGGGGGGGGTTGCAAGCTGGGGAAGGTGGCAATGACTTCATGACAACTGGCTGCTAAGCAGCTGGGGGGAAGGGGGTGGGGAGCTGGGGCCTGGCTGCGAGAGGAAGCCTGCTCCACTGGCCCCAGTTTGGGGCAGGGCCTGGGGCCCCACGAGGGGTGGAGGAGGCAGCCCAGCCACAGGCTCACTCATCCTAGGGACACTTTGGTTCTCTTTGTGGGGGCTGGGCTATGCCAGGGCCTCAGGGGAAGGGGGGCAGGGGCCCTCTCGAGGAGTGAGCCCCCCTCACAAGACCCCATATAAGCTTACAGCAACCCCAGGAGTTAGGGACTCATGCCTATTTTGCAGATGAAGACACAGTCTCCCAGAGGCAAAGGGCCATGTCTGAAGCCCCACAGCTCGGGGGAGTGGTAGAACTGGCCTGGGGACATGATTGGTGTGTTTCCTGCTCCATGTCCCAGAAACGGGATGGGGGACAGGGGGATTCCCCCAAATCTGCTCCCTTGTGGATGCCTTGAAACTTAGGTATTGGACCTTCCCTGAGTCCTCAGACCCAATGCTCCTTATCGCTCCCCAAAGGGCCTCCTTTCTGGGGAGGCCCTCCACACACTTCTCTACAATTTAGGGGGTGACAGACATCCATAACCATGCAGGGGGGCCACCACAAGTAAACAGAAGCCTTTGCAGAGGGCAGACCCTTTGAGCACAGGCCAGAGGCTGGGCCCTATGTCAAGCCGGCCTTGGGGTAGGCCAGGCCGCCTTGACTCACAGGGATCAGGCTTGCTTGGCTCCTTTGTGGGGTTGGAGGGGCCCCAAGATCACAGATCCGGGGGTGGGCGTGAGCACTGTCTTTGCGCCCAGAAGCTGAGATCAGCTCTCGGGGTGCTCTTTCTTCAGCCATTTACTGGTTTCTCATAATAATAATAACCGCCCCTGTAATAATAACGGCCCCTATAAAGCTTGCTTTATAGTCCACAAAATACTTTCACACTCTCTCCCTTAATCCCCACCAGCCTTGTGATGCGGAGCCAATATACCCATTTTACAGAACAAGAAATGGAAGCTCAGGGAGGGAGCTTTGGCGACTATTCTCAGATCACAGGCCAGGACGTGGCCGGAGCCCCTGTCCAGATCCTGTTCCAAGGAGCCTGGCGACTGCGGGCTGACGTCTCCGGGGCCCAGCCGCCTGCAAATATTGGGGGCTGGGGTAGGAAAGATGCAAAGCACAAAGTGACTGCTCCACGAGAGAGTGGGAGTGAGAGAGGGTATGGGGGGGGTCCCCTGCTGCCCCAGGCTTTGGGCCCAGCCACGCAGGGACTGCAAGAGACCAGTCATTCCTGCAATATGAGCCCATCGACAGGATTGTCATATTCTCATCTGCTTGTGGCAAAATGAGAAAGACAAGGACAATGTAGTGAGGTTTTCACAGAGCGAGACCCACGATGTGAAGTGTGGCCCTTCCACCCATACTGTGAGTGCTCGATCGCGCCCACGCACGCCTGTGTGTGTGTGTGTGTGTGTTCAAAAAGACGTTTCCTTTGACATTTCCTTTTAATGTCCTTAACTCGGCAACATACAGACCCGGTGACCATGTCCGATCCTGAGTTGTTTTCTGGAAATGTTAGTGCCCTGAGACATAGGACAGATGGGAGCCACCGAGCTAGCTCTGGTCCTAGGTGAGACCTGGCAGGGAGGGAGTTGTTTTTTAATTGAGGGATGATGTCTGAACGGCTGGAAAAACCCAGGGGGAGAGGAGGCTGGGGCTCCTGCCCAGACAGCCCTGCGTGCGGCCCCAGAGCCCCGGCATCCCCAGGAAGCTGAGCAGAGGAACATCTGAGTAGCTGCACAGGGAATTCTGAGAAAGGCCTCTGGGCCAGTTCTCTGTGCCACACACCCGCAGCCTCTTCTCTGACCCGGAGCCAGGAGGAAATGTTCCCTTAAACCCCACCCCACCCTCCCCCCAGCCCCCCAAGGCTGGCTCCAAAATAGCCCAGGCCCCCGAGGAGACGTCATGGGTCCTGCTGGCTGCTTGCCCCTCCAAAAGGACAAATATAGAGGGATACCGGACACCGACAGGAGCCCCGGGACCTGGGGAGCCCCACTGCCTTCCCTTCCCAGCCCTGCACCCACTAACAGGGCAGCTGGGAGGCCAGCAGCTGGCCTGGCCAACCGACCCTGGGACGTGTCCCAGCAAGCCCAGAGCAGAGCTGGAGGCTGGCCCAAGGGGACACCGGGCTGAGCTGGCCGTACACATGGGGACACCTCCTCTATCGGTGGGGGGGGTGGTCTCAAAGCACGTTTGTAAGCGTCACTGCCCACAGGCTGCTCCCAGGAGCCGGAGACCAGAAGAACCCAGGTGGAATGGCTCCTGCCTTCTGTTCTTCCCAGCTTCCGAAGGAGGCCAAGGCCATAAACCTGGGGGTGTGGGAGGCGGACAGCAGGGCAGGCAGCCAGGTCAAACCCCAATAAACTGCTGGTAGGATCGAATTGCAAATAATTAGTCCTGATCACCAAAGCTGCCTCCACCCTCCACTCCCAGGAATTAAAGGTCAGAGGGCAGAGCTGCTGACGCAAATGTCAGGAGAGCCAGGCGATTGGGAACAGCTGGGCTCCGGCCCCCGGCCCCCGCTCCCCCGCGCTCTGGACAAGGTGTCCCTCCGGGGCTGGGCCCTGAGAGCCAGCACGCTCAGGGAAGGGGGCTCCGCTCCCCCCTCCTCCCATTCTAAGGTCTCCAAACTTGCTGGGGGGCGTAACAGAAATTCCCAGGAAATGGTGTTGCTGGATGCGTGGGAGGCTGGGGGGGGAGCAGCAGCTCGGTGTCTTGTGAGCACCCCCCGCACCCCTAAAACAAGAAGAAACCTCTGCCTTCCTGGCCGCAGGCAGGCTGCTCCCTAAAGCCCGCCGTGTTCCCCTAGGTGGACCCTCTGGCAGGCACGCCCCGGCGGCCGCACTGTGCTCTGTGTGCCAGGGGTGACCCCCAGTGGTCAGTGTGGGACTTGAACTTGGGCCTCGGGCAAGGCTACCGCGGACCTCGGCTTGGCAGCCTCAGCCAGGGGCCGGGGACTCTGGCTGTTCAATTTTGGTAAGGGGGTTGCTGGCGTTTGGAGGGATTTTTGTATGCGCTCAGTTTTCCTAATCGTACTGGATCTCGCCCTAAATGTCCCACTGTTAGCAAATCGGCTTCAACGTGTCTAAGAACGCGCTATCATCTAGCCCTAAACCTGCCCCTCCTCCTGACTTCCCTGTGTCTATTAATAGCACCACCACCTCCCAGTCCCTGGGGCTCCAAACCTGCGAGTCATCTTCCACTCCTGCCCACACTGGGCTGGGTGCCTGGTCCTGCCCCTCCTCACTCTGCAGTCATTCTTCCAACCTTGATACTCACTGCCACTCACTTATGCTACTGCGGCTCTCGGCCGTGCTGCTGGGTCAGAGCTGGGCATGTGCCCAGCCCGCTCCACGTATAGGCTGTGCGACCTTGCACAAGTTACTTACCTTCTCTGAGCTCAGCTTCCTCAGCTGTAAAATGAGGGTAGTAATCACAGTGCCTACTTCATAGAGCATGAAATGAATTCTATGATAGGAGGGACATAAAGACCCTGTCACATAGGACATGCTCAATGCATGTCAAATATTACAGGCCCTCTTCAGTCCACCGCTCCGTTCAGGAAACCAAGGCCAGAGAGCTGGAACGAGAGCTACCACTTGGCCTTGTGTTCAGGTGTCTTTATAACATGCTACAGAGCAGGGGGAGTGGAAGTTCCTGGAGTCTAGAAGCTTCTCCACCACGGCCTCCAACATCATATTTCAGAACGCAGACCCAAAGGCCTCCTCCTGAGTGTATTGGTCCCATCCGAGGGCCTTCAAGGGCAGGTCTACCTGGGTAAGTGTCGAGGTCACTCGGCCATAGCAGACACCTTCTGGAATGAGACAACTCCAGGTCACGTCCAGTGGCTGTGAGTCAGGGTGACCCATCTGCAAGGTGGTGAGTGAGGCTGCACGCGCTGGCCTGGCACAGCGGCCTGCCTGCGTCTGGGCAGCTAGCCATGCATGGCCACCGGGCAGGTGCCTCCCCCGCAACCGCCCCACCCTCACGTCCCTCTCCCAGCTCACGCTCACCCCACCTCCGGGCCCCAGGGGCCTTCACAGCTGGAGGCCCGGAGGGAGGAGGGCCGGCCGACTCAGGGGGCCTTCCCTATGGGCAGATGTTCTTTTTTTTTAAAGATTTTATTTATTTATTTGAGACAGAGAGAATGAGAGACAGAGAGCATGAGAGGGAGGAGGGTCAGAGGGAGAAGCAGACTCCCCGCCGAGCAGGGAGCCCGATGCGGGACTCGATCCCGGGACTCCAGGATCATGACCCGAGCCGAAGGCAGTCGCTTAACCAACTGAGCCACCCAGGCGCCCTGGGCAGATGTTCTTAACAGCCGCTCCGAGACCGAGCTCCTGGAGCGCATGCACTTGAGATTGAAGGGGAGAGTGTTGCTCTGGAAAAAGATTTCATTTTATTTATTTATTTATTTTTAAAGATTTTTATTTATTTATTTGACAGAGAGAGATAGCGAGAGCAGGAACACAAGCAGGGGGAGTGGGAGAGGGAGAAGCAGGCTTCCTGCCGAGCAGAGAGCCCAATGTGGGACTCGATCCCAGGACCCTGGGATCATGACCTGAGCCGAAGGCAGACACTCAACGACTGAGCCACCCAGGCGCCCTCGTTTTATTTTTTTAAAGATTTTATTTATTTGAGAGAGAGCACAAGCAGAGGGAGAGGGAGAAGCAGACTCCCCGCTGGGCGGGGAGCCAGAAGCCTGATGCGGGGCTCGATCCCAGGACCCTGAGATCAGGGCCGGAGCCGAAGGCGGACGCCTAACCGGCTGAGCCACCCAGGCGCCCCTGGAAAGAGATTCTCAAAGGAGGCTTTGACCCACAAAGAGGAGACAGCAGAAAAAGCAGACCATCCAGATTCGGACGTGGGCCTGTCCTGGAGTCTCTGGACACACCTACCGTGTAAGACAGTCGCTCTCCAGGGGGGCCGGCTCTGCTCCCGAGACATTCAGCAACGCCAGGAGACATTTCTGGTTGTCACAGCTGGGGGTGCCCCTGTGCTAGTGGGTAGAGGTCACAGATGCTGCTAAATGTCCTACAGGGCACGGTCCAGACCACACAACGGAGAATTCTCCTGCCCGCCCTGTTGGCAGTAGCCGGGGTGAGAAGCCCTGGTCTAAGAGTCATCCGTCATCCGCCCGCTGCCTCACAACTGCCTTGAGGGTTAAGGAAAGCAATGTTTGTCGAGGGTCCAGGACTGGGCCTAGCTCATGCTCTGTTCGCAAAGGACCTTTTCTTGGCCTGGGACACCCAGCTGGTGGGCAGAGGTGGGGTGGGCGCATATTCTGAAATGATCTTGGTGTTTCTGCCCTACCCTGACTGAGGCAGAGTTTCTAGAACAGTCCAGTGCTCACAGCCCTTTTAACAAAGAAAAAGCAGGCCCTGGAAGGAGGAGCCCGCCCCCCGGCACATGAATCGTGTTGGAACCGTGTTAGAACCCCGGGCGCTCGCTCGCAGTGTCTCCTCTCAAGCCCTGGTCTCCGTTAGTCTCCCTGGGATCCATCCACCCACCCCTTTTACCGGCATGCGGGGGGCAGAGAAATGGGGAGAGGACTGGAGGCAAAACGCTCCTTCGGAGCAGTGCCCGGACTTAGCAGGAAGACCCCAGGCGGGGGGAGGGTTGGTGAGGATTTCTGTCGGAGGAGCCCTGTGCGGAGGCAGGGGCATGGCCATGGCCAAGGTCTGGCCAAGAAGCCCGTGGAGGGCGGTGTGGAGCCGAGTCCAGGAGCTGGCAAGGCCTCGCTGCCCCTCACTTCAGCGGGCACTGCTTCTCCCTCAGCCTCAGTGGCCGTGGGGTCAAGTGTCTTCTCTACAAAGTCTGTTCCCAAATAAGGCAGTGCCTTCTCCGCTGGGACGGGGCTGGGGGGACCCAGGTGGGAGCCCATACACCCCGGCCGGGGCTCGGCCTTGCTGGCTTACCTGACTCAAGCAGACTAGCTTATGGGATTGCGCTGGAGGAGGGTGGAAGGGTCGGGCCAGCCGACAGAGCCGACCCTGTGCATCCCTTTCCGGCCTTGCTCACTTGCTGGGACCGGGGATCCAGGGGCTCCAACCCACGCTCCCCCTCGCCGGGCCTCAGCTTAAGGCACCTGTTTCATGTGGGGCGGGAGGGGGGCGCACCACCACCTTCCACACCTCAGCATAGGGGTCAGGCTGGGATGGGGCTTCTGTCCGTGTCGGGAAGCCCAGCTGACCCTGGGGACAAGCCCAGACACGCAGCTGTTCCTGAACAGGAAGCGGCCGCGGCGGGGGAGGGGAAGCGCCGAGGAAGGGAGACCAGACCCAAGGACATCCGACTGGCGGAGTCCGATTAAAAGGGTCTGGACCCAGTCTCCAGATAGAAGCAGCCTCCTGCCACGGGGAGTCTCTTCTCTGGGGCAACACTTTTGTCTTTAGTGGGAATCTCTTGCTGATGGCTCGACACCCGACTTTGACCTTTCCTTCTCTAGCTTCTCCGCTGCTGGTGGGCTGGGGAACTGCCCACCGCCCCCCGGGCCCCCCACACTCGCTCCTTCCCAGGGGTGCTCAGGCTGCCGGCCCTCCCACCTCCGACAGCCTTCTCCTGCGGAGGCTCCTAAGCTGGCCAGGGGGCACCTGGGCCCGGCGGGCTTCCTGACCAAGGTGTAAGTCCATCATGAAAGTTCGGAGAAGGGCCGGGCAGCCTGGTTGCTGCTTACCCAAGTTTCCTCCCAAGACGCCCCCATCTGCCTGGCTCTTCCCACTCCCACCCGACTTCCCTGCCGTCCCGCCCGCTCCCACCCAGCGTGGCTCCCAGGCCCTTCTTCCTGTGACCAGCTTGGCCCGGCCACACGCCCTGCGGCAGCTTCGCGCGGGACGCCGGGCACAGATGGAGGAGCGCCGAATGGTGCGTGGGGGATAGGAGCGGTCCTCCTGAGCCCAGACCAGGGAGGCACAGAAGCTGTGGACGGGGCCCGGTGGCTGCAGCTTGGGACCTTCGTACCCACGCGAAGGGGGCCCTGGAGCAACCCTGAGCCCTCTCAGGCATCAGGCCCCCCAGGCTTGAGGGTGGCAAATGCTGCCGTGAGACCCCCCTGTCCTCCAGGCCTGTGTGCACGCGCGCGTGCAAGGGGGCACTCGGGTCTGGAGCACCTGAAGGCCATGGAGGAGGCCGCGGCAAGGGACCTGGCTCCCAGCACCCCCAGGCTGGCCTCCCCTCCCTCCCTGGGGCCTGCCTCCATTTCGCTTAACGTCTCACTCTCCCCCTTCCCCACCAAGAGGATCCAGCAGCTTCTTGCAACTAACTCTGGTGGTGGTGGTGTGGTTGGAAGGGGTCCTAGGTGACCCTAATCCCCTTTAGCTCCTGATGTTTAGAATCACGGGGTGGAAAGGGGTCCTAGAACTCTTCTCATCCAACCCTGTCATTTGACAGAAGAGAAAACAGAGAGCCAGGGAGAAAATGAGCCCTAATGCTGGTGGCTCCTCAGAACCATCTGGGACTGGGGTCTAAGCGCCTGTCGGCGGCCCCATGCGTGGATGCCAAGGGCTAGCCGCAGCGGTAGCGTGGGCTTGGGGACGGGCTCCAGCCACGCAGCCCCCTTCCTCTAATCCTCACCCCTCCTTTCCCCCTTTCCAGGAGCAGTTATAAAATCCAGGAAATAAATGTGGATTGATGGCCTATAAAGGGCTTAGTTAGTGCTGTGACCTGCTGAGTTACGTAACTCCCATTTATTATTGGCCTTGGACGAAGTTTCCATTGAAGCAGCTCACCAAGCTGATTCTGTGACATTTCCTTTAGCCTGATTCAGTGGCTGCAGCCGAGATTCCTCCGCAGCTTCAAAGAGCAGCCATGGGTGTGTGGACGCTTTCAAAAACCCCCTCCTTCAACCCCTTGGGCCAACGTTCCTCTCTCACCTCTATCAGCCCCTGCTCACCTCAGCAGGGGTCCCAGGCTCTGGCCGACTTGCCTTCCCTTGGGGTCCCTGGGCTGTAGGCTGCCTTGGTGGGGAGGCTGAGAAAAGGTGAATGAAAGGAGAGCAACCCAGGGCTGGGAGAATCAAGAGGCGGCCTAGTAGAAAGAGCACTGAACTAAGAGTCAAGAGTTCTAGTCAGATCTCTGGTGTTGGAATAATGGCCACTCTGGGCCTCAGCATGCTTGTTAGGGAAGTGAAGTGGTTTCCCTTATCTGTCCAATCTGACCCCCCAGTAGGCACCCTCCTTGGTCTAGTCCGGCCGGCCTTGCTGGGGTGGACAGCCCAGGGAAGGTGAAGGACAGGGATGAGGGGCTGGCAGTCTCTCTTTGGGTGCTAACACGAGTAAGGCTAATACCAACGTGATGCCACCCTGTGTTCAAACAGGAACAGAGCCCAGCCTCTCTCTCTCAAGGCAGCTTTCCAAACAAGTTCATTTCCTGTGCCCCCACCCCTGCTCTGGCAGGGGTAGTATTGGGAAGCCAAGGATCCTCCCTAATTGTCACCCCTCGGTCCTTCTCTTCCTTCCCCAGGTGACGCCAAGGGGGACCCACAGAGAAGCTCTCTGAAGGCTCAGCTGTCATCCTAAAGTAGACTTTTGGAGACGTCTTCCCAGGTTCAAGAAGGAAAAGATGGGACACTCAAGGAAGTATGGGCCCCAGAGAACTCAACAATGTCTGTCTTCTTCATATTCCTCCCATTCATAGAAGTAATGCCTTGATGCCTCGGACAACCCGGTGCATCAAACAAAGCAGCTGGTTCGTACCCAGTGGTAGAGGCTACAGGAGTTCCCTCCATTAAGGATCTGATCGGGCACGAAGGCTACTAGTCCACACAACTCAAACTACACATGCACAGATGACTCACCCTTAGAGAACGTCACCTTGGAAGAAGCCTTGGAGCTCATCCAAGCCCAGCCCCGGCTTTTACGGGTAAGGAGAACTGAGGGCCCACCGTAAGGAGAGGACTTCTAATGGACCGAACGGCAGAGGAGGGCTAGAACAATTCTGTATTGCGACTTGGTTTTTGTGAGGCTGACTTTGGGCTCACAATGTATCACACCAGAGGGGTCTTTGGAAGAAGGGCTGTCACCTGGAGCCCCAGAAACATGGCTGTAATATGGGGCAGGATGGTCTGATAAACCCTCGGGGTTGAGCAAAGCCCAAGACTGGGTCTCTAACCCAGCCAAGGCTCCCTACGGGCGTGTGCCTGGTTTCTGTTGACCGCCGGCCGGCCAGGCTCCTCCAGGAAGTTGGACAAATGCTCGAGGTATCGCTCAGGATCAATACCAGAGTCTTTTCTGGTGGAAAAAATGTGCAAACCTTTGCTCCTAGTGCCTTTACTTACAGCCCCAGGTAAAGCCCCCGAGACAGAAAGGGAGACTGCCTACAAAATAAAAGGCCTGTTTCCAACTTGCAGCCCAAGGCAGCAGCTGACAAATCACTCAGGGAGAGGTGACCCGTCTGGGCTAGCCAAGGGTAAGGGAAAGCAGGCTTGATGAAGGATGACAGCAAAGGAAATCGAGGCCTCAGTGGGGGAAGGATACAAATGTGTTTACTGTTGCGTAGTATCTCATTTAATCTCCAACAATGCTGTGAGTGAGGCATTGTTACCACACTCCTGATGAGGAGATTCAAGTTTTTGAAAGACTGCTCCACTCTTTTTGAGTGTGTCTGCACTTGAGATGTCCTGCAAAGATCTTAGCAGATGGAGGTTTGGGTTCTTGCCTGGGCAGAGTAGTGCTCAGCGTTTAGTCATCAGTAATGCTAATCGCGTAGACAGCCTCTAGCCCTTCTTGCCACCATTCCACACCCAGCTGTGCATCTGATGTGATAATATTTTATTTACTTCTGCACGTCTGCTCCCAACCTGTTTATATGCAGTGATTAGAATTTAATTCTTACCATAAAGCATTATGAGCAACAGATACTGAATAAATACGTTTCGGTGGCATCTAAAAATGTCAAACTTACCGCTGTTTTCATACCTCAATCTCTCCCTCAGTGTGCCTGCACAAGAATGAAATGAACTCTTAGATGCAAGAGAGACTATGAGCCTCCTCCTGTGTTGAATTTTCATGGAGTGCTCCCTTTTCCTTAAATTGGGGAGGGTGAAGCAACAGAGAAAGGTATTCCCTGAAAGGTCTGATAGGCCCGAGATACCTCTGCTTCCTCACCTATTTCTTTTAGGACAATGTCTAGAACACTTATAAATAGACTGGAAATAATATTCTGCATTAGGGGTGCCTGGGTGGCTCAGTCGGTTAAGCACCCCACTCTCGATTTCGTCTCAGGTCGTGATTTCAGGGCCGTGAGATCGAGCCTCATGTCGGGCTCTGGGCTCAGCCAGGAGTCTGCTTGAAGATTCTCTCTCCCTCTGTGCCTATGCCCCCCACCGCCCACTCTCTAAAATAATAAATAAATCTTTTTTAAAAATCTAAAAAAAAAATTATTGTGCATACATAAGCATTGAAGACAGATTTCTCTCGTTTTTATCACATTACAAAATAGCCAAAGCAGACACCATACCACCAACAGCATTTGTCAACTACTGCTTCTAACGTCATCCCGGTGTCTACTTCCCTCTCTCATCCAAATCTCCCCGAGGGCGTCTTACTCACCCTCACGCACCTGGCCCCCAGGAAGCTCCAGAGTCTGTTGCCGGGTGCCTAGCAGGGGCAGGTGGCCCGCTGGTTGCTATCACAAGCATTACTTCACCTCGCCATCACAAGAACTCTTTGGGGTGTTCCTCTCTCTTTAGAGCAAAGGAACAGGCAGGTGAGTGACTAGTGAAAGATCACAAAATAAGGCAACAGTAGACCCAGAATTCCAACCCGCGTCTCCTGACTTGTGATCTAGGTCTTCTCCCAACGCACCTGCAGGAGCCTCTAGTTGTGGGGTTGCCTGGTTATACCCCCAGTGGAGGCCTTGAGCCTTTACTCATCCCAGCTGGGCCTGTTTACCAAGGGGCAAAGGCCCCTCCTAGGGCCAGCCGGGCCTCTGGGTCACCTGAGAATGATGAATTCACGAATACTTTCAGAAAACTACCGGATGTTATGCAAATGCAAGCTAGTCATGGTAACATCTGATGGGCTATGGCTTTTTTTCTATGAAAAAATAGCCTTACAAAGTGCACAGGAGACGAAATATTCCCTTTACACTTTTACTGTAAGTTCAAAGTACCCCTAAGCTTCCATTATCCATGAATCAAAAAGTAAAGAGTCATGGGCTGAGCCTGCTGGCAGGTCACCACGTGCTGGTAAGCAGCAGCTAA